AATAGTTTGGAGTTGGCAACACTACCATTTGGACCAATGAACTAACCGCCCCGACCCCGGGCAGACTTTATATAGAATCCCCGATCGGGTCCGTCAAACACGCAGTCCATTACCGTTACATTTCGGACGCCGCCCACGAAATCGCTGCCAATGGATACGCCTCCGTGTCCGTGACCCATATGACTGTCCCGGATGATCAGGTTCTCTGTGGGCGCTCTCTCCTTACTGTCATCCATACCGGCCTTAATGGCTATACAATCGTCACCCGCATTGATGGTCACCTAAAACAAATGCGCAAGGTTCGTATTTAGTTAGACCTATTATATTATAATATTAATAGATATTAATAAACTTTTGGTTTAAGTGTAAAACATTGTCCGCAACCATGTGGTCACTCTACCTTCGATATGAGTATGTTTTTGCTGGAGTCCGGGTCTATACCGTCGGTGTTGGGCGAGTCGGCCGGTGAGTCCAGTTTAATGCCTTCGATGGTAACCCCATCGCAGTCGACAACATTCACGTGGAAAAAGGGACTGTCTCTGAATTCACCAGGATAACAACGAGGGATTATTTAAACATTGGTACTTCAGGCATATGTTTAATACAATATATCTGTAAAACTTACTTAAAAGTGATGTCTTTGAGGACAATATTCTTACAGTCGGTGGCGATAAAAAATTTAGGCCTATTGGCTATGGTGTCGGTGTTGGCAGATTGTGTCCGGTTCATTGATCGCAAATACTCTGCCCGATAGGGGGAGTCCACCAACTTCCACCAGGCTGATCCCTGCCCGTCCAATACACCGGCGCCCCTATGCATAAATAACATAAAGGTATGATACAGTATATATTGTATATTAATTATAATAAACACAACTACGATAACTTATATTGTAAATTATTTTATAGTTTTAAAGTAATTACCATGCGCACTTACGTGATGCCTATGTTTGTGAGCTTAGAGGCGCTGATGAGCCCTTTAGTGGCGAACGATGTCTGCCGGGAGCCGTCGGCCATCGCCTCAACCACCGGCTGATAGTCGTCGAGATCGTCGCTAAACTTGACGACCGCGCCGTCGGCCACGTCTAGTGTCACGTGACTCCGCAGCTCAATGGGTCCGCACAGGTAGTGTCCGGCCGGGAAGTGCACGACTCCGCCGCCGGCGCTCACCGCCGCCTCAATGGCCTTATGGACGGCGTCCGTACTTTTCTTGACCCCCTTGGGGTCGGCCCCGTATTTGGTCACATCAAACGTGTCCGCACTTGCCGTCCAAACGCACGCCACACTCGCGGCTAACAATATGTATGGCATAAACATTTTGCGACTACACCCAGGCTCAGTTTTGACCATATATTTGACTTGGTACTAAGTTAATGTTATTTTATGCACTGCTAATTGTGATTGATGTACCTTGCTGCATACGTTTGGTGTTTATATACGTCTATGAGTTTATCTGTGGGAAATACGTAAAGTTAGAAGTAGCAGGTGTAACAAACAATGATAACCTTGCTAACCTTAAGTAGAAGATATTTATTTATTTTCTGATATCGATAGTTCAAACTTTAACTGATTTTGCGTTTATATAACCTGTAAATATGGACTCCTATTATGTGACCTAATTTTCATTTCACTTACACTTTCACATAAACTTAATATTTAATGTAAAACTAATAGCTTTGATAATGATTACCAAAGTCATAGTACAGTGTTATACATATGAAATATGGACTCCTATTATGTGACCTAATTTTCATTTCACTTACACTTTCACATAAACTTAATATTTAATGTAAAACTAATAGCTTTGATAATGATTACCAAAGTCATAGTACAGTGTTATACATATGATAACTTTCTGGATAATAAATTACGGAAAAATAAATTGCGGTAATTCAAAATTAATATAAATTATATTTTCAAATCTCCATCCCATCATTTTTGTAATATATTAATATTTTCAATGTTTTCACTACTCATAAGTGACGTAAAATTTGTTGAAACGTCTTTTATGAATGTTATACTGAAGAACATATATTTTGGCAAAATTTGAACATATAAGAATTTGCAGCAATAATTATCAACTTTTAAAGTAGGTGAAATTGACAATAGAGCAAAATAACTTATTTTAAGTGCTGATATTTTCTAAATTACTATACAGTAGTATCATATAATGGTAAACATAATTAGTTGTTAGAACCTGTTAGGATTTGCAAGGTTACCAGGATCAATATGTTATCACAAATGCTAAATGTATCTATTAGTAAGCTACATTATCTAACTGTTAGCCTAAGCGAGAGTGTTATGTGATCTGGGCAATCTTATGTGAATTAAGACCTTGGCTTTTCTTGTATAAAATTGACGTATTTAAGGCTTTAAATAAAAGCTTTTGTGAAATAAACAATTAATCTTATAACCTTATAAATTATTAACGAAATTTATTAATGAAATCTTATAAAGTATTAGTAATTGATTAATTGGCAAAGTGTATGCTATTATATATTGTGTCTATTAATAGCAACAAGTGATTTGATATACACATAATTTATTATGGATCCGAATGATACAAATAGTGGCCGCATATGAATGAATGCAAACTTTTTAAAAATATGTTTGACATACTGTTTAATACAATGATTCACACATTCATTCAGTTGTCTACTGCCGTAAATGAAAATGATTTGTAGTCAGAAATTGTCATAAAAATCATTTATTTTCTGCACAAGAAAGCTGAAAATTTGTAAATTTAAAAATATTTAAATTAGCGTTTCAATCATCAACTTTGAATATCACTAAAATAATTTTGTACTAGATAAATATTGTGAACATATTTCTGAAAATTAATAAAAATTTAAATAATTATATTTAATGTTAATATTTTATTATTTTATGTACAATATAATTTATAAATAATTTAAATCATAATTAATACACATTTGTTTCATATTTGCTATTATTTATACAATTATTTATTTTTAACACAATAATTGTAATCATGTGGTTATAGTATAACCGTTATACTGTGTTATTTATTATAGGAGTTTACAATAATTTTGTTAAATTTTAGCGCGATAATGTTTACTAATATCTGTGGTATTTAAACAAATTCAGGTTTATATATAAGATATAAATTTAAAGCTTTTTTAATAAACTTCTATACTTTACTCATAAGCTATAGAAAAAACTTTAAATTTATATCCTAACCAGTATTTAAACCAGAATTTGTTTAAATACCACAGATATAATAATTTAGCAAAATATTATTAATAAAATTCATTTTAAAACAACCACCTACTGTTTCTATGCATTTTATAACTTACAATTTGTTATAAAAATATTTTATGTACTAGTTCACTTTACTGTTTAAGGTAGAATTCTAAGGTACAAACGATCCAATACTGCACTGCAGGTGCACTATACCAGTAATTTCTACGATTATTACATCAAATATATTCAAAAAATAACACACTTTACATTCAGTGATATCAAGCAAATATTTTCACATAAAAGTACCAAGACACTTATTACAGGAAAACTAAAGAATTATAATGATAAAATATATGAAATTATTGACAAACAACTCATTGAAACTAAATATCATTCATTTGATGACTACTATTCACGCGAATTTCAAATCACTTTAAATACAATTTCAACACATAATCAACAAAATATTGAACTAGTATTCAATGAAAACACAAAAATCAGTGGTAAATATTTTACTAATATCTAAGATGTTTAATCGGATTTGTAGTGTGTAATATTAATTTACAAAAATATTCTAAAAACAAATGATTTTTCGTATATATTTACATTTGATGTGATAACTAAGCTTGGTGAAGGTGGCTATGGTCAAGTGTATAAAGTTCGTAATAAATGTGATCACAAAGGATATGCTATAAAGATATGTCCACTAAAGGGTAAATATTTTTTAAAAAATGTTTTAAATAGTAATGATTTTATTTCAAAAGAATTAACAGATAAAGAAAAACAAAATGTTTTGAATGAAACCAAAAGTCGGATAAAACTTCGGTCAGAGTTTGTGATTCAATATTATTATTCATGGATTTCTCTCGATTCCCTTTATATTCAAATGGAGTTATGTATCGATAATTTGACAAAACTTTTACAAGTCAAAAAATTACTGTTTAATGAATTTAAGCCTAGTGTTGAATTTTATATATCGTATGAAATATTTCGTGAACTCACAGAATGTGTGCAATATTTGCATCAAAAGGATATCATTCACAGAGACCTCAAACCGGATAATGTGTTGATTTCAATGGACGGACGCATAAAGTTATGTGACTTTGGTTTGGCTAAAGAGTTCCCAAATTGTGATCCGTTTCGTATGTCTAAAGCCAAACATACCGCAGATATCGGAGACTTATCATATCAGGCACCGGAAGCTCAGACTAATGAATACAATCATTTGATAGATATCTACAGTCTATCTCTAATTGGTTCACAAATATTTGGTTTCGATACATACGATATAATAAACGGAAAGTATGTTAATATTTTCATTTTATTATTAATTATAT